GGCGCATTGTGTGGGAGCCAGCCTGCAGCCTTTGTGGCACCAGGAGAGCCTGCTGTGGGAGCGATGCTGCCTGCCCCACCGCATTCCTCCCTGTCTGCCCCGCGCTCTATGCCATGCCGGCGGCTCCCCGATCAGGCTCCCAGCCAGTGGGAATCCCTCCTCTCCCCTCCCCGTCCTGTTGCTGCTCTGCTTTAATCCCTCCTTTGGTTGGGTTCCTAGCAGCTGTTCTGATTTCCATGCCCTTCTCCCATCCTGCCAGCCTCAGCTCCCTTGCTCGGCAGATATTTCATGGTGGGTTTGCCATTTTTCAGGGGATGTGCGGGGCAGACGAACACCCCAAATGTTCCTGGGAAAACAGGCAAGAGACGAGGGCGACCCCCAAAGCGGAAAAAACTACTGGAGGAAAATTTGCTGAGGTATGGAAAGGTTCTTCCTGCAACAATAAACTCCTATGTTCCCAGAGGGAAGGATAATGTATTTCTGGGGTTCCCCCAATAAGTATGTATATACCATGCGGCCAGAATTTCAATGCATCTCTGAAGTGAAGCAAGCTCAGACTTGGTGGATGCTTTGATCACTCTCCAAGGAAAATTCTGACTGAGCTGGAAGCCAAGTTTGGTGAAACAGTGGGCATCACTCTTTCAACCACCTCACTTCAAATGCAGTCCCACCGTGCACTGCTGGGGGGTATGCTCCTTATAAAGAACACTTTCACTGTGTAGCACTTGAAGCCAAAAATCCTGGCCACTTGAGTCAGTATAGATTTTGGGATGCTTCCCATAAGAACCGAAATACTGTACTTGCCAAACTCCATCCTGCACCCTTCACTTCTTTAAATTTTATGAAGCTATCATAGATCTACATTTGAAAATACATACCAAACATGTTCTGCATGGTGGTTTTCTCATGGCTTTGCTGTGCATTGAATTATTGATGTGTCCCCTATTCTTCTCCTCAGAAGTGGCTGCTTTTCAGTGATGTGAAGTAATGTATTTATTGTATCACTCCTTCTCTTTCTTTTTTTTTGCAGGGAGAAGGCAGAAGAGAACTTGCTAATCCATGAGACTCAGATAAGAAATGGTAAAGAGATTTCGTGGGGTGAGGGTTGATACAATCAGCTAACATGGCTCTTAAGTTATCAATGCCCAGGGAGATGACTTTTTCAGGAAAGGGAGAGTCCTTCTGCTTATAGCTGGGCCCAAGTTGGGAAGGAGGGGTTTGCATTACAGGCTGCCTTGCAGCTGGGAGCCTGAGCACCCGTGGAATTCCTGTCTTACCGTGGATGAGTTTGGGATGAAGAAACCTAACCTATTGGGATGCACTGGGCCTTGGGAACCCACCCACAAAAACGGGTTGTGAATGGTTCTCACTCTTCCCAGTATGAGCTAAACACAAGGCCCTGCTGCAGCAGGTGTGGTTTTTTGGACTAGGAAGAGAGTGAGGTCAGTGATGCCAAGAATGGGAAAGAAGAACCTTTTTGATCCTCCTCACTTCTCCTTCCTGGTGGCCATTGGGTGCCTGAGCGCAGTAAATGACATCTTGGGGGTACCCACCTAAGAGTTAACGAGGCAAGCAGAACAAACAAGTTGGCAACATGATGTGAAAGTGAGTCCAGGGGAGCTGGAACTCATTTGTCATACATGTGTATCCACTGGCTTCCACAAAACCCAGGGGCTAAGCCTGCCCATTCCCCCACAATAGAGGGCAAGGGTGGCATTGTGTTTCCCATGCTGCCTTCTCTTTGCCCTTTGTCTTCAGATTTCCCGGCGGCTGCTCCAGAGCTGGGCAGCAGAGCCGGAGTGATGCATGTGAGGCGCTGGGGGTTTTATCAGATCATTGTCTTCCAGCAAATTGTGTCACTTCAGCTGCAGAGTAATCATCTGGGGGCACAAAGCAGTGCCTTAGTTCTGTTTGCTGTTGAAATGAGTTGTCATAGGCAGCTGGCAAGGGAATGGGAAACAAGGGTACAGGCTCTGGGGACAGCGTGCAGGTAAGCTCGCCACTGCAGGTGGTCGGGGGTGGCTTTGCGTGGCCAGAGAGGCAGAAGCCAGCTGGCCAGAGCAAAAGAAACTGGCACATGGCTGGTGCTTCACCATCTCCTTTACCAGTCTCCAGTGCATTCACTTGAGCTGAAGCCAAGGGTGGACGAAGCTCCAGGCTGGCCTGTGGCCCATGCCAGCATGCACTCACTCTCTGCCACTGCCACGGCACCCAGCCTTCTGACAGAGGGGGACTGGAGGGAGGCTGCAGCTTTCCAGTCCTTCTAGGACTGGAAAACGTGATATCTTGCATGCCTGAGCAACTCACAGCTTCAGATCCACAAAGGGCCCAGAGTCAAGGTCAGAGAGAAAGAGGCTCTGGTTTTTTGCGTCTTTATATTTTTCATTTATTAGTCTGCTTGAAAGTGTGGTGAGAAGGTCCATGACATCTGCCAGTGGCAGTGGTGACCATTGCTTTCTTTCCAGGAGCCAGTGGTTAGCTCAAGAAAAGTCTACAGGGAGCGGAGAACGCCTCAGCTTGAAGGTGTTTGATCCAAGACTTCTCCCACTGCCTCCTCCCTAAAGAAAAAAAAAATAGGCCATAACCTTTTTTGCTTAGGGAGAATCCTGGGGCAAAAGCATACAAGTTGCAACCCATGAGGTTTCCCTGCTCTGTGTAAACATTTGCAGAGCAGGAACCACATTTCCCCTCTCCAGGTGGGTGTTCCAACCACCATGCAGGAGAGCCCTTCCTTCACAGTTAGTATTCAAAGTGGAACAGCTGAGTGTGTCTTGGTAGTTGGGACATGCTTCAGAGCAGTGGGTGATCTGCTTCAATCCCACCCTGGATCAAGCAGGGATGGGATGTGAACTCTTGGAACTTCCCCCTCATCTGGCAGCCCGATGAACCCCATCCTTCACTTCCTCTTCTCTCCTTTCAAGTCCCTGCAAACAAAATGTTTCATTTGGGGAGAACAGGAGGGTGGGAGGGATTTTTCACTGCAGAAAAGGTTTGCAGTGCTAAAAAAACAGGCTTATTTCAAATAAGATTATTTTTTATTCTGCTGCCAGGCTAAATCAGACATTCACATTACCTTATGTCCTGCTCCGGCTGACAGCATCCATGACAAGGAACAAATTAAATCCTTTCCTCTGGTCCCCTCATAACTGGGATGTCACACTACCCATGTGTTGCTGAGTGCCACCACTATTTCTTCACCTGTGTGCTTCTTCTGTGTCCTGGCATCACTTTCAGTGTCACTAGGGGAGGTGGCAGTGCTTCTGGTGGATGAACAGAGTTTTGGGTCTACAGCATAGAGCATGTTTTCCATAACAGTGGCCATTGCCAGTATCTTTTGCTCTTCCTGAGCCCTGAGGAGAGGAGAAAGGATCAAGAAGAGCCGTTAGTCATAACTGCTGTGGAGATAACATCCTTTCATGTTTTTGAAGGGTCCCAAGGGCCTGGCCGTGGGACATGGTGGCTGCTGTGTCAGACGGAAGAGGAGTGGAGGCAGGTCACAGAGAGCTTCAGAGAGAGGACTTCCCTTAGAGAGCGGCAGCTCTACAAACTCTTGAGTGAAGACTTCCTGCCGGAGATCTGCAACATGATTGCACAGAAGGTGAGGAGACATGACATCCTGTTTACCTCTCTGAGTGCTTCCAAGAGCATGGACGCTTGCAGAGTGAAGGAGAGTTAATCCAAGCAGCTTGTCATCACGTTGTGCTTACCCCCACCTCCAGCCTGCAAGTGTCACGGACGTGGGGGCTGTTAGGCTGTGTTTGGGGAGAAAGGTGCCCCCCATGCAGTCACAAGGCTAGAGTTGGTACTCAAGGATCTGGTTTGTGATTGCATGGCAGTGTAGGTAGGATGGCTGAAGGGGTTACTGTCTTCAGCCATGGTCTGTGCCCCTTTTCTGCTAGCAGGGCATCTCTGTGCTTTTGAACTGCTGTGATTTACAGCCTAGCTTTTCTGTGCAAACTGCCTGTGATTCCACTTTTACTGCCGTTTCTCAGCTGGCTCTGCTGAAGGGGCACTGGCTGCTTGGCTGTCCTAGCTAAGGCTGCTTGAGCTGGTATGTCAGCTCAAAACTCTGAAGGGTATTTTGTGTCAACTGAATGCTTTCAGGTGGGACAGATTTGGAAGGGGATCCTTTGGCTAGATGGCTTTGTAAAATGGGCTCTGCAGTCAGCGTGATGTTCTTGGATTGAGTTCAGTTTGCTTGTTTGCTACCCTTGTAAAGCTAATAGGGATTTCATGGTCACTTCTGGCCCTCAGAGTTTCTCCTTCTGCTGTCACCAATGTGCCCTAATTTCCTCCACTCTCTTTTTCCTTCCCTCAATTCTCAACCCTGTTTCAGGAGAAGCGTCTGCAGCGGACAGAGTTTTCTCCCAGGTGGATGTCTGACCATCAGCCCATCAAACCAATCAAGCAGGAGGTGAGGGGGGGTGCGAGGGGGAGGACGACGGAGGGAGGCGAGAGCAGATGCCTCCTGGGGGAAAAAATAAACCGCAGCATCGCTATTCAGTGGGAAGAAGTCGCTTGAAAGTGCTTGTGCTGAAAGAGAGATGGGTGGTAATGCCCGTCAAAGGCAGACTGACACTCAGGGTTTCTATGGCGAGCAGGGAGGTGCTGCCCTCGCATCGCAGAGGTAACCAGCCTCACCACACACTCCGGTGCAGCTGCATATGGAAATCTGTGCTCAGTCTGGGGAATTCCACTTCAATGAAAGTGCTGGCACATTCGAGGCAGTTCAAAGAAAAGCTGAAGAAGGATGAGAGGGCTAGAAGAACCGGCTTACAAAGGGAAATGACAGAAATTCAGCCAAGGGGAAAACGTGAGGCTGCAAACACATGAGGGTGTAGATAGTGCTGAGGGAGAGAAGAATGACTGATGCAGTACGGAGCGGAGCGAGGAGGGGGTCAGCTGGAAATGGAAGTCACAATTTAGGCTGCTTAAAGAAATGCTTATCAAACCACAGCCTTGTTGGCTGCAACGGCTCTTCCCGTGCCTCTTCACCCTCATCTTCTCTCCACCCCATCAGTAACAGCACTGCTGCTGCTTGTGGGGTTGTGCAGTGAACCAGACCCAGGAAAATGACTGGAGTTAAATATAACCTTTTTCTTTGGTCGGGGTTATTTTTAACATGGATCAGTTTTCCGATCCAGTTCACCATGCAGCCCCTCACAGTCACACTGGCACAGCCCTGAACATGGTGCGTTGAGATGGAGAATCTTTGAACTGGCAACTGCTACCCAAAGCAATCAGTCAGATAAGACAGGATTAGCTTTGGAGGAAAAAATTGTCTTGATTCTATCAGGTCGTGGCATAATCTCTCGCTGTAGATGTAATGAAAACGTAGTTACCTGATGTTTTGTCAAACCCTTGGAAATTGAACTGCGGGGAATATTCCGTGTGAGCCAGTCAGGGGTTCTTACACAACAAAGGAGAAAGTACAGTTTCCCGCAATAAATAGAATTGCTTAGAACAGATAAATAGAAGGAAGGAAGAACCTCTCATCGTGCTGCAGATAAAAGCCTGCCAGGAGGAAAATAAGACCCCAGCGATGGTCAGTTTGGGGCCAGAGCTGCTCTCTGCAAAGCCCACCGTGCAGGAAGCACAGGAACACGTGTTTGTTCACAGGCAACAGAAATCCCAGAGGAGGAGGGGAGTGGGAAACACATGGAGCCTGAATGATGCTAATCAGTACCGCAGGTGCTCCAGGTCTGCGGCGGCAGAGGGCTGTTAATTGCTGCCTGTGGGCCAGTGAAACGTTTCCAGCGAGCAGGGGGCCCTCCTGGCACCCTCCTGGCACCCGCTGCGCTGCTCCCCGGCGCGACGCGGCACTGGTCCCTGCCAGCGGGAGCCAAGCAAGGTGCCAGCGTGTCTGATGGCTCCTGTGTCAAACCAGGGTGGGCAGCAGGTGAGCCTGGGGGGGGAAAAACCTCAGCCTGGTGCAGGTGACCCTTTCCTCCTGGCTGCTGCTTCATGGAGATGTAACTGCTCCATGAGCTCCTGATCCTGCAGGGGATTTCTCAACAGGTGGTTCAGATTAGCTCCTCATTAAGAGTGGCCTGAGCAGCACCCTCATTAGGGCTGTGCTGCGGAAACCTGAGCGGGGAAGGTTGGGCAGATGAGGGGCCAGGGTGCCCAGGGCACCCATGCCTCCTGGCCTTCTGCCCCTGAAGTCTGATCCTGCTGCCTGGAGAGCAAAAGGCAGAAGTTTGGCCCTTTCGGGGTCCCAGGGCCAGGGGAAGGCAGTGATGCTGTGTCCTGGAGTGCTCTCTGCCGGAGGGAAGGAGGCAGTGATGCTGTTGTCCTGGTGGTTTCTATCCTCCAAGCTGGAGAAACGTCCCTTTGCCATCCCAGTGGTCAGGAAGGAAGTTTAACTTGTATTTGGTTCTTGTTTTTATCATTCCAATAAGCATCTGCTTCTGCCACATCTAGTAGGAGTTTACTGCTTCGTTTTGCATTTATTTTAAACCCTGAATTGAGCACACTCATCCCCAATGGGCTTAAACGGGATAGCAGGCAGAGGGTCCCTCTGAAAATCAAGTTGTTTCTGTGCCTGAAGTGTCCCAAAGAGCCTGTGCTAGCATGGCTGCTGCCCTGCAAGTGCTGCAGGGATCAAGTGCAGTCATGGGGGGCTGCTGCAGCCCCTGGGGCTCACTCCACTGCGTTTGTGGCTTCTGCTTTTCCCTTTTCTTTGCTTCCTAGATCTGGTAGGATGACATCCTCTTCTTTGCTTAAAATTGTTACTTTGCTTTGTCACTGCTGTCTTTGTGGTGAGTTGTTCTGGAACATGCTGTGGATTCTGTGTGTGTATGGAGTGCTGAATGCACCCTGCAGGCTCAGACAGGTCCTGGTGTCAGCACTGCAGCTTGGGTGTTGCATTTGTGTTTCCATAGGACATGAATGGTGCAAGTTTTATGAATCCAGGGAAAGGAAAGGACTCACCTGTGTACCAACAATCAAAGAAAATAGTGTGTCATGCCAGGCTGGCTTAGATCTACTGGCTGAAGAATCTAAAAGCTGATGGTCACATCCTGGTCATGTCCTGGCATACCAACTTCTGGTGGCTGGTTCATGCTCACCTCTTTCTCTTGTGATTGCTGCAGAACTTGACTTTGTTGATTCCTACTGCAATTTAAAGATTGATTCAAGAAAATTATGGGAAAACTGTTTGATGATGGTCAGGATCAGGCCTGAAAGGAAGTTGTTTGCAGTGCATGAGTAGAAGATTGGATGGCAGAGCAATTGAGAAAAGGATATGAAAAGAATCAAAAGTGGAAATGTAGAACCCAATTCTGTAGGTTCTTGACCTCTTGTAGTTGGCATAGCACTTTCAGTCCTGGGCATCCTGGTGTTTGGATATTGATCAGAGATGAAAGGCCTGAGAGACAACTAGAACAATCATTCCAGGGGGATGAAGGGATTGCTTTATAAGGAGACATTGAATCTAACTGCAGAAATGTGGGAGTTTTGTGTGTGTGAGGAAGCCTATAAAGGCCAGAATGTGGCTGAAGAAGAAGAGAATTAAGTTCACTCAGAAGATCTTAACTAGGAATAATTGAATGGAATGAGGGGCTGAGAAATTATCTTTAGGCTGAATGTGAGGAGAAGCTGCTGATCTAAAGGCACGTGGACTCACAGAATGATTTCCTGAGGAAAGGGATAGAAGAGTAAAGTACTAACATTGGCAAAGGAAAGAAAGAGGCAGAGTTTCCTCATGGTGACATGATGTTATGGTTTCACCGAAGTGAAATAGGCACAGAATAGGTGTTTTTGCTGCTCAGACTGTCCCTAAATGCAGGATATGGTCCTAATTTTGTTAAGAGTCCCATTACCCTCTCTGTAAATGCAGGATATGGTCCTAATTTTGTCAAGAGTCCCATCACCCTCTCTTGGACATTTCTCTGTGGCTGAAACATAACTCTCAATATATTGTTGGTGCTGGAGACAGGGAGGTAATATGTGATGCTAGTCCACAGAGATCTGGGGTGGGAGTTTGTAGGGCAGTACAGGACTGTGTAGAGGAAGTGGAGACAGAGGGGGAATGAATGTACAGTGAAACCAGACAACATTGCTAGGCATTTATCAAAACACCCCCAGGTTCTACTTCTAGCCAGTGAAACAAGGACAAAATAGTAATCATGGTGCCAAAAATTTTTTTTTCTGGGGATTAATAATGGGCCTGGAGTACTTGATGGTCTGAGCAGCAGCCAGGGGACCCCAGCTGATTGCTAATCCTCAGGAAATGCCTTCTGCCTAAGTGGTGGTTGCTGGTTATTCCCTGAAAATGAAGCTGGAGCAAACTGTATGTACATTGTTCTTTTCCAGTTGATATTCCCTGCTGATAAGGCACACATATCTTGGCCTTGCAGAAGTCAGAGGGGTGGGAGTGGCTAGTGGATGACTGATTAATTTCTCTTTAAATTAAATTAAGCTAATAAAGGTAATTCCACACTACCATATACATACCTTGCACTTTATTGGAGAAGCAGGAGCAGGCGATCCCTGGCCTGGGAAGCCTGCAGTCTTAAGTGGGATCAAACACAGCCTTGCAGCCTGCTGGCAGTGGGGAGCTGAGGAAGTGGGGCAATAAAGAGCCAGGCATCCT